GTTTTTATGCAAAAATTACAATTAGAGTTTCTATGCAAAAACAAGCAATTCGGCCAGAGCGCGAAAAGGTAAATTTTTCGGTGCACAAAACTGAAAGTTTACTTTTGGTCCCACTCGGCAAAAAGAAACTGAAGGTGCAGAAACTGACCTAATTCACTAGTCTGCTAAGTTTCAAATGTAAACAAATATGGCTTCCGTGGAAAAAAATTAAACCTAGCCGCACTTAAACACCTTTTAAATTGTTCATAATTTTACAGCTATTGCATGCAGATTAATTAAAGGCATAAAATCCTTAACTGGAAAATGAGAACAAAATATGCAATCATTTTTAAAGCAAAAAAAAAAAAATATCATAATTTACCAATATATAAGAATAAAAAGAACTGAGCTCACGGAGCCGAGTAACAGAGTGGGTATATATATATATATATATATATTTGGCCGGCGGATTGCAACCAAAAAGGGAGGCGCACAACTACATGTTACAGCAATCCTATATACAAAATTCCAACGTTCTGAGACTACTCTTTTTTGAGTTGTGCATACGTATGCACAGACGTCACGAAAAAATTCTCTCCTGAATCCATTTTAAATCCCTTTTCAACGTGGTCTGGGAAAAAGAATCCTTTATTCTGTCCTTACGTACAGATGTCACGCAAAAACATCGCTAAATTGCATTCGATAGCGGCCAAACAGTGTATTTCAGTTGAAATATGATACTCTAAAATTTTCGCTTACTTTACGTCGTACAAGGAAGTAAAAAAGAGTAAAATGTGGAAGTAAATAAGGATTATACAAGCACACATAATATATTGCATATAGTAAAATTCCTATATACTGAAAGAATTTTTGAATACCGAGAGCTAGAACTATGACAGTTTTATCTATCTATAGTAAAATGAGTTTGTTTCAAAAGAATAAATTAAATTTAATTAAATTAATTTAAATACAAATTTAATTAAATATTCTTTGCGCCATTGCTGCAAGGAATGAAATTTAAATTAAACCAAATTTAATTTAAATTTTAACAAACACGTATAAAAGTAAAAAAGCAAATTGAAAGCCAAAATTTAAAAAAAAGAAAGCCAAATTTAAAAAAGAAAGCCAATAATTTTTTTTAAAAAAAGAAAGCCAAATAATTTTTAAAAAAATTTTAAAAAATGTGCAAACATATAAAGATTTAATTCTCGAACTAATCTACAATATCATTTAAATTTCAGAAGCATAAGCAAATCAAGTGCAAAACCTATCCATGAAAATAAATTCACTAATTTTAGCAATTAAAATTAATCCAACAATTTTTTTAAAATGCATAAGTGAATGGCTGTTGAGTAGACAGAGACAGACTTACTCAAGGGGAGGTTGCCTCCAAACCTAACTCTCCAATCATTCAATTCGTGTTTCGTCCTTCATGAAGGCAAGTGTAAAATTAAAAATCAAAAGTAAATACATAGTGAAGAATGTCCAAAAGAAATACCAATAAAGTGGTACCCTTAGAAATTAGCATTTAAAATTAAAGTTCTAAAAGGAAAATACTAATGAAGTCTTTTGAGAAACAAGAAGTAAAGTCAAGCATTAAATTAAACTTTTTTTTTTAAATCAAACTTTTAAAAAAAATTAATTTGTTATAAAAAATAAAAAATAATCAAGAAACCAATGTATTTTAGATACCCTTGTCTATTTACCACATAAGTATACTTTATCACATGAGACCGATCGCAGTGTCCCGAAAGCTAAATTTTGAAAGTTAGCAATCATATCATGAAAAGCATAACAAGCAGAGGGAAAAATCCAAAACAAATGCATACTGCAGCAATTCTCAAACCTTTTAGCTCAGAAAGCCGTTTTTAGCATCAATTTTTACGGCGAAGCCCCTTACGCCCAAAGAATGTCTTGAAGAAAGAGTGTTAGGAATATAGTGTTAGAGGGAAGAAGGGATAAATAGAAAGAAATGTAAACACAAGATATATCGAAACAGTAGCACAATATCCATGGAATGAAATTACTTCAAAAACTTTTTAATATTGCAATAAGATATCAGTTTATTCTCAACTACCAACCAATACCCATAGGTACGTTTGCTTGTTGCTGGTTCAAGTGGCTTAATTGCATTTATTTGTGGCCACTAGCTTCGAAGGTGGTTTAAGTTACGATATCTCGCTAAGCCCTGTAATCTAGTTCTATCGTTTACTAATATATTCAGATTTTTAGTTTAGTTACTTGATTTTCAGTTGCCGTCCAAGCAGATGCTTAAGTTTTATAGCGTCGAGTTGACGCACTGTAAATTTTAGAGTTAATTAAAGGGTACTTTAACTCTTCTTTTGTATAGTTTCCTGCTATTCCGGTTTCAGACAAAAGTTCATATACTGGACTCAAGACTATTTGAAAGAAATTTTTATGAAAAAAAAGGTGATCAAATTCATCATATGCCAACATCATAACGTTTACCATAGAGCAAAATGCACGGCATTTATGATGTTGGTTATTTCATCTGAATTGCTCAAAACTGAAATTAATAAATCATCATTTTCTCTAATACCGTATTAGTCTACAAATGCTTCTTGTTGCAAGTATCTATACTTATGTGTACAATATTATAATGATAAAGAAAATCCGTTGAAACTAATTAAGATCCGTTGAAATTAAGATCCGTTGAATTAAGATCCGTTGAATCCGTTGAATAAATTAAGATCCGTTGAAACTAATTTGGAATTGATTTAGACGTAACACTCGATTTCTAAAAAAACATGAACAAATTTAACAGTGAAAGATTGTATTTCTTATTCGTAATCAGAATTTGATGAAATTAAATAATTTCAACAATCGGAACTAAAAAAGTAACTGTTAATTATTAACAACTAAAGTAAAGAAATAATGAACTAGAAAAAAATAAACAGCCAACTCAGAAGAATTAGTTCAATAACATTAAGAATCCTAAGGTGAGGAAGAACCTAAAAATGAATACGAACAAATTAACTAAAGATAACAACTTAAAATTAACTGAGAAAATTAAAAGATGAAACTTTACCCCACTGTTTCAGCGCCCAACTGCGATGTTCATGGGCCCAGCTAAGCCTTACATGCGATGGGGACAAATTAACACAAACCACAGATCGTCGGGCATACAGTCTACCTTTATGCAGTCGATGCGATACAATTTAGTAGGAAATGAGCTGTCATGCAGCAGCAGAGATTTGTGATGTCAGCTGTCATGTTGTTAGTTATCTACGGCATCTTGCACATAGCAACATGAAGCAATCATCTGCCATTGTGGTAATCCTCCGATGTCCAGAGCCACGTCTTCTACAGAGTTTTTGATCCCTTTGGTAACAATGCCACAGCCTATTGATAACATTATTATGCACATTCAGTTCTCTGACAACAGCAGATTGTCTTACACCGGTTTGCAACATCCCAACATTCCTCCAATGCATTTCATCGGGAAAATGATGTTTTTGGCCCAAGCTTTGCACGTCGGCTATCTGGGATTACATGCAACTATTGCTGCTTGCGAACTAACGTATAGTTTTATTTACTCAGCCACTGGCGAGCCTGCCTAAAATGAAGTATGTACATATGAAACACTATAACGGAAAGCTTTTCATATTTATGCTGCATTTTGGCGAAAGCCATGAAAACCTTACACAGCCAACCCATGCAGGTACTAGGATTAGTGACTGACAAATCATACGTATAAACAATAGTTTCAAACTTTTTGTGTAATACAATTAAATATTTTATTAGAGTGTATACTTATAAGAGTGTTGGGTGTATTTAATTATGGCAAAACACATGAGAGCTGTTTACTTAAGGGAAGGGATGCCTGCGTACAGGACTTTCTAAGAGAAACTGGTTCGCATACGTCACACATAGGGAAAACAACGAAAACACCCATGCAGCCAGCCCGTTCGCTGCGATTCGAAACACGGACTGAACTTCCACTGTTTAGCGACTTTAACACTCAGCCGCTGGTGGGCCTTAAAAAATAGGGGAGGTTTTAGCAAAAAGTTGTGTTAATGTTTCTTTAACCCCTCGCCTTACAATGTTGTGTGAGAGACACGGTAAATCGATTTGGCCCAAAATAAAAACAATATGTAAAAGACTTGATACGTCCTTTGGGTGTACGAGATAAAGACTTATTTATTCTCCTGGCCACATTCAGATGCACAGATGCATTTCCTTGAACATTAGATATCGTTGAAAATGTCTCCAAAAAGAATATTAATCTTTGATGAGGGCAGTGAAATGATAGTAATTATTTATCAAATATTTCGCTACATAAAATTAGCTTTACCTTACACATGCATTTACATACCAAAAGATAAGAGCACAATTTGTCTGGTCTTTCACAGGCAGTTTTCAAACTTTCAAAGTACAATTTAAAACTGCCAATTTTTAAGGTTAACTTTACTTGATCAATGACACTCCCTAGCATGTTTTAGCTCAGAAATGAACAGAAAGATGAAGTATCAATAATAGAACTATATATTTGATGACTTTGAGTGAAACAGCAGTCAATTCTTTCAGTTTGGCAATTCAGTAATACAACTTTAACATTTGGCAGTTTTATTATAACACAGCCGGTTACATAAATCTCTCAAAAAAGTGTGAAGTATTTGGACATAACTGTGTCTGGAATTGTTCCACTTCATTCAGCCAAACCCTAAAATAGCTCGATGTATGACTGATCTTGTTAGTGTTTATGTCACGCAGTCTCGCAATTCAAATTGCAAGGCAAGGGGTTAAAAAATTTAATGGAAATGGCTTATTAGTTGTGAGTAAACACCAAAAATCTCTTATAACCGTTATATTCTGAGAGTAAGATATGAGATTATTTGAATTAAACACATTTGCAACCTTTAGCTAAAAATTCTGAAATTATTAAAATTACTGTAGGAAACAACTAAGGCAATTAACTCCAAGTGCAAGGAATTGTTCACAAGATGGAAGTTTTAGACCGTATGCTATAAAACAAACTATTTTTGAAAAAGAAATATTACCTCTGGATCAAGTTCAAATGATGGTAAAGGAGGGTCTGGTAGAATGGGTACTCCTTCATCTAACAATTCACAGGCTTCAAGAGGTATAGATAATATTCCTTCTTCTAAAAATTCAGAGGTATCATCAGGTATGGGCTCTCTATGCATTTCAAGCAATTCAAAGACTAGAACAGGTATATCTTCTATAGATGATTTCAAAAGCATGGCAGTCTGTACTGCTACATTTGAAGTAGAATGATAGATTCTTGAGAAGACTACAGGCTCATCTAAAATTTTCATATTTTCTGGAGCCTTGCTCAGATCTTCCAGATCTTGAAAAGTCTTTTTCGTAGCTTCTGAATCCTTCTGCGTATATTCTGAATCATTTTTCATTTCTTTTGTATATTCTGCAGCCTTTTTCATAGCTTTCGTATCTTCCGAATCATTTTTCGTATCTTCAGAAGCACTTTTTATATTTTTTGTATCTTCTGAAGCCTTTTTCATATCTTTCGTATCTTTGGAATCCATTTTCATGTTCTTTAAATCACTTTTCAAATTTTTCAGAAACTGTGAAGCCTTGCTCATATCTTTAATATCCTCTGAAACACTTTCAATATCTTCTGTAGTCTTTTTCACATATTTTGTATTTTCTGAAGTCTTTTTCATATCTTCTGAAAATTCATTCAGGTCTTCCATATATTCTGAAGCCCTTTTCTTGTATTTTGTATCTTCTGAAGCTCTCTTCACATCTTTCATACCCTCTGAAGATGCTTTTGTATCACTTGAAACGTTTTTCATATCTTCTGAAGCCTTTTTCATATCTACCGCATCTTCAAAAAACCTTTTCTTATCTTCTGAAGCCTTTTCTGTACCTACTAAAGCCTTTTTTATATCTTCTGTACCTTCTGAAACCTTTTTCATATCTTCTGAAGCCTTTTCTGTACCTTCTGCCCCTTCTAAATCTTCTGCTCCTTCTCTATCTTCTGCACCCTCTATATCTTCCACATTCCTCTTCAGATCTTCATACCGAATTATTCCCTTCTTAACCAGTTCATCCTGTAAAATCATAGGAAGTTTGTGTATGCTGAAACCATCACCAGATAGTAGTTTCTTCAAATAAAGACCTGTCATAGCAACCTGCTGTTCTCCTAAAATGACAAACGTTCAACTTCAACAATTATAGTGATTAAATGTGAAATCTGTTGGAATGAAGAAAATTATATACAATATTCACTCTTCTGCAAAGAAAAAGTTTTACATAAGAAAAACACTATGAACATGTTCATTTTTGCAGCTGATAGAAATATTTTACAATTTAATGCCTAATTTATCAAAACTAATTTAATTTCAGAACGCTCTTTATAAAGACAGAGAAAAAATTTACAATACATTAAGATGTTTAGCAATACTTACCTCATTCAGTCCCCCCACCCCCCACAAAAGAAAATCTGCCATCTGCTTCAAAACAAAAAGTTCTCTAAAAACGTTTACTTACTTACCTTCAATTCAAATACTCAATACTATGCTAATAAAATTAAGAAAATAAATTTAAAAAAAGTGCTTTAACTTTGAAATGCCATACAGTCATATTTATTACTTCGAATTATAAACAATGCAGAAAATTTGAAAGTACCTTTAACTTAAAAATTGCAAGCTTAAAATCTATTTTAATATAATTGACCTTAAAGTTACCAATTTACCCTCTCAATGGAATGGCTTTTTGAATCTGCTAATGAAGAACTATCTATACAGCATTTAATGGTTAAATTTGTACAATTATTTATTTTAGTTTCTCCTTCAGTAAAATAATATTTAAATCTTAGCTTTCATTCATTAAAATAATATTTAAGGCTTTAGAGAAAAAAAAAAGAAAATATTTTAAATAATAAGATAAAATAACACGCCGAAGATGTATTAATTTAGAAGTCAAACAACAAAAATAAGAGTTATATTTTCAAATTTTCACAAGACTCCATTTGCGCTTTTGCAGCTGAGGCTGATGGTTCGATCCTGCGAGAAATTGAAAATAATAACGCTGATTTTTGTTGTTTGACTTCTAAATTAATAAGGTAATGCATGCCAAATGACAAGAAATCTTATGACTAGCTAAAGGCGATCATGCCACTAACAGGGTTAACATATGCAATTCTACATCTAATAAAAGTTTCTCAGGAAATATATCCAATTCAGTATTATTACATATTACCTTACCTTACATAAATCCAGTACCAAAACATTCAGGCTGATGCATAAAAGGAAGATATTTTTCTTTCTTTTTGGATGGGGGGGGGTAAGGAAGAAATCTAGACATTAGATGTAATGTGCACTCATGCATTTTCTTCTAGCAGATGGAAGCCATAACATTACCAAAGAACCACAGATTCTAAAAATTCTATAAGCCATAGCATTAGAAAAGAACCACAGACTCCAACAGCTCAGTAGGGAAGTCAGAGTACCTAGTATGTATACAAAGTGCAAGCAAAACTGTTACCCAATGGCACTGTGTACCATAACTACAAGTCTGCTGGTACGATAATGTATAAAATAGTGACAAATGACCACCATAGTGCTGAATGCAAAAGTAAACTTCATTTGAAAAGATGACATGATGCCATTCACCATTGCTGTCTTCTGTTTAACGCATCATTGTAGCCGCAGATGCCTCTGCTATGTAGTTAAAGTTAAGAAATGCTACATTGTAAACTGCCAAAATACTTCTCACCATAGGTGTCGCTAGTTGTTACAAGTAAAATATTTCAGACAGTTCTTCCCAGTGTGATATGATTATACAATTTACACCATCTCTGTTGTCTTGGGATTTCGCACATTGGGGCTGTTCTGATCCTTCATGTCACCGTCCGTCAAGTCATGTCAAGTCTCTTCCAGATGAATCAATTCCATATTCATATTATTGTTGTCAGATTTCTACCACTGCGAACAGCAGTTTCATAATTAAATTTAATTAATATGTTGTCAGAGTGTCTCTTTTGTATTTGTTTCTAAAGTGTCAATGGATGACCAAAAAGTACACACAGCAAAAGCCCACAGGAAACATTTCCAGTCAATGATGATCCACATGAATAAACAAGATGTTAAAAACTACCTAGTGAAAATTCAAACAAAATTTAACCATGTTGTTGCTGCTGTGGATTTTGATAGATTTAATTCTGTTAGCGATATCATTTTAAAACCTCCTAATACTGGAAAATATGACGTGTTAAACCAAAGTTTGATTGTAATACATTCTGAAAGCATCAAAAATCATATTCTGTTGCAAAATACTGAGCTTGACCAGAAGCATCCTTCTCAGTTATTGACTCATATGTGCGATAGTCGTAGGTGAGCCCTTGTTAGATCTTCCAGATATCAAAGATATACCAAGATCTTCCAGATATACCAATAACTAGTTTGTAAGTTATGCAACAATTTGGATTAAAATGAGAATAACTGCATTTGTTTTCCTAATCTCCTATCATTTAGCAACTTATAATATATTGTATCATTTAACATGCTTAAACAGTTTTTTTATGTATGGGAACCATATTTTAATTTATGACTCTATCTCTCTATATAATTATCCTTGTGAATATGAATCCTATTTCAACTGTCGACAATTTGTTTGCATTTGTTTTCCTAATCTCCTATCATTTAGCAACTTATAATATATTGTATCATTTAACATGCTTAAACAGTTTTTTTATGTATGGGAACCATATTTTAATTTATGACTCTATCTCTCTATATAATTATCCTTGTGAATATGAATCCTATTTCAACTGTCGACAATTCATTCATCCAAAGTGTATCTATATGCATATATTTTCTTTTGCCAAACTGTTAATGTGTTAGTATATAATTGCAAATTTCATTCAATTAATTAATATAATAGGGACTGAATTTTTTTTGAATTGACACTGACTAAAGACTCCTCAGTGTATATATTATTCAAAACTTATTTTATTTATAATATTTACACATTTTAAAGTTTTAATTTTGCATGTTTTTCTTACATCTCAGAGAATAATTCTTTTGCCTCCGTTAACAATTTTAAAGTAAAGAAAAGTGGAATTTCGAAAGATTTTACTATCAATAAAGCTATATTTTTCACCAATGGGTGATGCTCCAACTGTAGCGGAAGTTTGTACAGCAACACATTTTGCAATGCAGCTAGGATTACAAATATTCAGTGTACTGGCCATCATTCAGGGCAAAAACCATTAGGCCTGTTACTACATTCTGCAAATCATTATGAGGGTTCAGATGTAATTCTTGAAAACATCATGAATAATAACTTTTTTCAGTATGGCCAAAAATGCCAGTCAACCCTTGCACACATGACTTCAACGCACTCCATCTTGCATAAATGTTACTTACCTGTCCTGCAAGAAGGCAATCACACTCTCTCTTAAAAGCATTGCATAATGCTGTGCTTTTAAAAGACTGCGATAGAAACACTTCAAAATGTACCACTGTGGACTTCCTCAAAGAAAAAGGCCTATAATGAATGACACCATGAATCCCACTACCTATTTCGACTGCTGGCAAGGGGTTTCCACAAATGCATTTTGTTTCTCTCTTGCCCAAATGAGGCTGTTGTGTGCATTTATACTTCTGAGTCTATATTATTTACCATCTACTAAAATTCAAAATTTGGAATTCATGACACTACTCGAAATCGGCTGCTATCAGCCAGCGTCTGTAGTATTAGATTTTCATGTGGCTTATGATGCTGAACCACAAATTTTAATGTAACATATTAGAGCATGGTTTCACATTTACCAATTACATTAAACTCTCCAAATGAAAAATTATATAACTGAAATTTACATAACAAAAGCAGTATTTTCATTATATCATAGATCATCATGTCATATATATTATGTAGAGAAAAAGTTAAATACTTACCTAAAGCAGTTAAAACTCTCTCACTTTCTGAAGTGGCATTATTATTATGATGGCCATGACGAATCATAATAATATTTCGTGTAAATCTTGGAATAGATTTTTCTTCCTCTTCCTCCTCTGCTTCTTCTTCGACAGCTCCATCTCCTACATAAGAGTATGCAGTATATTCGTCATCTTCTATAAGACCTTCTATAAAAGGATATATTTCATATCCATTTTCATTCTCATCTTCCTCTTCTTCACCTATAATAATTTTATATTCATTTTCATCTTTATCTACATCTTCTAAGGAAGATTCTTCCGAGGAAGTTTCATCCGAAGAACTAGATCCTTCTTTTATTTTTTCAGGTTCTTCAATTTCAAGTTCGGATTCAGACACATTTTCAAGTTCAGTCTTTTTTTTAGGTTCAGTTTTCTTTCCAGGTTTTTTTTCATCTTCTAATTCTTTCCCAGATTTTCTTTCAGCTGTAGTTTTTTTTCTAGACTTTTTTTCAGGTTCAGGTTTTTTCCTGGGTTTTTTTTCAGCTTCAAGCTTTTTTTTAGGTTCAGTCCTTTTTCCAGGTTCAGGCTTTTCTCCAGGTTCAGATTTTTCTTCAGATTCAAGTTGTTCTCTTTCTTCTTCTACAGCAACTAATTCTTCTACAGTTCTTATAAAAAAGAATGAAATGTACTGGACATACATACAAATCAAATGTTTATAAATTAGAAAATGTATGTGTACAATAAATCAAGTTATTAATTTTAGACACATAAGTTAACTTTCATTGGAATAAAAAGCATAAAAATGTATAATACTTATGCATTACTTTATTGACAGTGAGTGGCAGAGATTTCTACAAAATTATTCCAGTCATTCAGCCGGAAGTTTGAAGGAACAGATTGCTCTTTTTTTAGTTAAATGATCAAGAGATACAGGTTACAGATATACCACACAATAAACTAAATAAATATGCAATCAAGCATGAGCCAGTCATTCCAGGGGAAGTCCGGAAGGAACAGATTTATTTGGATAACCAATAGATACTAAACTTTATTTATTCAGATAATCAACAGATGTAAATTATGAATGTGGCATATAAAAAATGGTTGGGATTGCATAGAAAGTATGGAAAAAAGCTTCTGAGTGTGTTGTGACATCACTTTATAAGCAGGTTATTATTGGAGCTAAATCACAATATTTGGTGACAGATTTTGTTTGTTGAAAATAGTCAGTGGTAAATATGTAAGCACTAACTTTATAAATTTCAAAAAATTTGCCGGGAAATAATACACTGTAAAGAAAATTTGATATAATTTCACAACAAATATCAGTTGTGCTATATGTAGATGTAAAAAACATAGATATGCAGTTATAGAATAAATTATGCTTAATTTATCTGGTATGATCTTATATTCCTATTATTAATAACTGAAATAAATGACATGATGCAGTCAGTGAAAAAGTTTCAGGATCAACCAATCAACAGTTGCTTAAGCTTGAAGATGTTGTTAATCCATTATATATGAATGGAAGTTCTTTACAACATGTCCAATGAAACCCAAACTCTCCCTCCTTTTAAGTGCATTTAATTAGAGTGGCTAATAAATATGTAATGTTTAGACTATTTAAAGTCTTAAATGAAGTATGGATGGATTAAAGCCACAGAGCATTTTAAGTTTTGAAGGAAATATAAGTGAAAATGTGAAAAACTGAAATAGAATTTCCAGCTTTATGTAGTAGATTTAAGCAGTAATACTAAATTGGCAGAAACAAAAGTAGTTATTTTATTGCACTTTATAGGTAGAGAAGCCTTGACAAATTTAATAGTTTTGATTTAAACGAAGAAGATAAAAAAGACAGTAAATGAAGAAAAGGAAGCTTTCTAAAATTATTTGAAATCAAATTAAACTGTTGACAGGCATATATTTCTTTATTAAAAGCACAATAAACACATGAATCATTTAATAATTTTCCAATAGATTTAAAGAAATTCAATGGTTTTCTAATAGATTTAAAGAAATTCGGTAGTCATTATGGATTTGCATAATTAAAAGATAGTTTAATCCAAGACACTACAATAAGTAGATAATAAGTGGCATTTTAAATAAAAAAGTTGGCCTAAAAAGAGAAGTTCAGTTAACATTGGGGAAATGTATTAAAATAAGTGTAGCTGTTGAATTAGCAGAATTTTAGCTGAAAAATTTTAACTCTAGGATATAAAATAGAAGTGATACAGTGGAATGAAATTTCACTTTCAGAAGAAAAAGGGCAGTCATGTAACAAAAAATACCATATTCTACAAAAGCCTCATAATAGCCTTCAAATCATAAAGGTTCAGCAATGCAAAACCATGTAGAAAATGTAGAACTTGTCACAAGCTGTATACCTGCCCTGCTTATAAAATTATTTGTAGATCAAAGGAAAAATCATTCTGCTGAAATGTACACTAACAAAAACATTAACATTGGGCAGAATAATTTTGACATGGGTTACTAAAAGTAATGAATATATTTTTAGAATCTGTACAAAATAAGAAGACATTATCTAAAACAGGAACAGTATGATTTAAAAAACTAAAAGTAAACATATTTAAATACATATATGTAAAGTTGGATATTTATGTTCAATGTAAAGTATTGGCATTGCCTAGATTTAAGAATTCAAGAGATAAATATCTGATTAAACTAGAATTCACTTTAAACAAACATAAAGTCTAAAAAAGTTATGTAGTTGGAAAGTATACGAGACATCTAAAGATGATGATGAAGCAAAATTTCAAGTAGTAGCATATTATAAAAATGTTCCAGTTATTTTAGATTTGTTTTTATTAGAATAATTTAATGCAGAGGGCATGTAAAGTAAATCCTGAATTTAGTTTACACCAGTGAAAGTTACCAGAATCTTTAAGGCTTATTTAAGGGAACTGGAAATTTAACTCTTTATACCTATGATATTGAATTAACGAAAGTTTGGCAAGAATGGATAAAGATGGTATTATACAGTTAATCAGACTACACAGTTTATGAATTAATCTGTAAGAAAAAAGGATGGTAATTTATGAATGCGTTTAGATCCTCAGCACCTTAATAAAAATAAACTAAAAGAATATTATTACATACCAACGGTTGAAGAAATTTCATCTCAAATTTCAAAAGCAAAAGTACTTTAGATGCAAGCAAACCATTTTGGCAAGTTAAAACTGTCAAATTTAAGTTATGAGGTTATTTGATTTGGTAGATATTACTTTTTAAGGTTGCTGTATGGACTATGTTCAACATCAGAAATTTCCATTGAAGTTTTTCTGAAAATTTTGGTGATACAGAAAGAGTTAAAATATATACAGACAACTTTTTAATTTTAATAATTTAAAAAAATGTTAAATTTAATTTAAATCAACGTAAAATTGACCGAATGAAGTCAAACATGTGGGAGGTTAATTTTCTAAAGATTGTTTAAAACCAGATGAAAACAAAATTATAGCTATTCTACATATAAAAGCACACACACAAAAGAAAAAAAGAGAGAGAGAGCGAGAGAGGTTAAAGAATTAGAATTTTTCTTAGAACTGATTACATATTGTTATGGATTTTGTATTTATTTAGCTACTTTTAGTAGAATTTGTAATTAAAATTCTTTTATATTCCTGTGCAGTGCAGCTATGATTTATTTGAAGAGAAAGTTACGCCCGAAAAGTTAAAATACAGGAACACGGACATTTAACATTTAATAAATAGATATCTCGTAATTGTACTCTTTGGCTATCCAGACAAATCGAGAAAATACTGGAATGTTCTCTTGCATGATTAAAAAGCTTATAAAAATCGAATCAAAACATCTCAGTTCAGTTGTTTACTTAGTGCTGTTTTTGACTGTAGTGAATTCGCGGTGAGATCGGATGAGCTTTCTCCGCTCTGAATTGTGTTCGTTAAAGCGTTTTACTAGTTTAAAATATTACTGTGAGATATTGCGATATTGTACGAATATCTCTGAGGAAATTTCAGCATTTTGTTCTACTTGTTGTGAGAACAATACATTTTATTCACTTTTCATCGGAGTGCATTCACGAACCCGTACGCACGCAATACTTTTTGGTGTCAGGAGTAAGGTTTGAATGCCAATCATAAGAGCTATGGAAGAACAGTTAAAACAGCTGATTGCAGCTTTGATGCATTTAAAGAGATGAAAGCTGGCCAAGTTTCCGTTAAAAAGGAGATAAAAGCATCCAAGATTCCGTTAAAGAAGAGGTAAAACTGTTAAAGAGGTTATGGAAACTGGCCAAGAATCCGTTAAAGAATTGATGAAAACCGTTCAAGTAAAGATGGTCAAATTTAAAAATATTGAGGAAAAGCATGTACTAAAATGTTTCAAAATGAAAATTTGGGATAAATAAATAAATAAATTAGTTTTTTCTAGGAGTGTAGGAGTTCTTATACATAGTATATAAAGAAATTTAGAAACAACTTTTCACAAAGACTAAAAAAATTGAAGTTCAAATGATCTTCATAAAATCCTATAAATGTAGAACAAGGAAACTTTAAAATGTAAAAATTAACACGTTGACTGCCGCGTGCATTTTACGTGATTTTGCCATGACGCCAACTTGAAATTTTTATTATGCGATATATATTATGTCGAAATATTATCTACAGAACATAATGTTTATATAATCGTGCGCTTCATGCTGGGGGTCACCAGCGACCTCCAAACATCTGTAGACCATTTTTGTGATTTTATAATTTAAATTTTTACGATTTATTATTCTTCAAACCATTATAGTAACAATGGTACTATTTAAAAAATTTATCAGTATCAATATTTATTCTAATTATGTATTTTTACTATTGGTCGCATTGCCAGTGGCACCCACGGCGCTGTAGCCAAGTCGAGTGCAGGTCACCGGTGACCCCCCACGGCAGTCAACATGTTAAAATAAACCATTCACAAGAAAAACCAAAAAAGTAGTATAAAAGAAAAACAAGAAAGGTGAGGAATCCAACCAACTTTAACATAATATCGTCAAGAGGAGTATGTCGAATTTAATTACATTTCCCCTTCTAAAACAAAATCCTTGCTTCTCTGTATCCAGAATCAGCTGATGAACCATTTCAATATATTTTTTATTAATAGTTCACCAAAAAATTCTAGTCCTCCTCAAAGCGAAGGAAAATCATTGAAAATATCTTCCGATTTAAAAATATTTTTCTAATCTAAAAAAAAGAAAAGAAAGAAAGAAAACATGCCCTTAAAAATGTAGAAAAAATTAAAATCCTGCAGTGGAAAATCTTTGAAAGTTCAAAATAATTTTAACACAAAACTTTACTAGAACCTCTTATCAAACAGCAGTAGCAAAGGAAAATGGGGGGGGGGAGGGAAGTAAAATCATTAAAAATATCTTCCAATTTAAAAAGATTTTACTAGTCTAAACAGGATTTTATCAAGTTAATTTGAATTTCAATTTTTATTCTTTCTGAAAAATTGGTTCTAAATTTCTTTCTTTATATATTTACTGATCAATTTTTAGCAGCATAATGCACAAAAATTTTTGGAAGGATTATAAATTTTCCTTTTAAAAAATTATTTGTATATACATAGTCCAAACACATCTGTATACAGTGGAATACGTTTAACGCGAAATATCGGTTAACACGAAATTATGCAACGGTCCGA